CACACACACACCGTCCCTGTTGCCCCTCCACACACACACTGTCTCTGTTGCTACCCCAACCCCCACACACACTGCCCCAGGCCTGTTGCCCCCTACACACACACACACACTGTCCCTGTCGCCCCCTGTCCCCCTGTCCACCTCCCCCATTTTTTCAAAATCTGCATGTTGATTGATAGTCTAGATTTGAAATGGCACGCCTCTGGATAGATTCTTTATAGCTGTATAGCACACACAGTCACATTATATTTGATATATGTTTACTAGATACAGTTGTTGTTTTTCGCGTGCTACAGAATCTGCTATTGATTTTGATAATGTATCAGCATTGGAGGGCCTTATCAAACATTATGGTCCATGTCAAACTGATTTTCTATATTTCTTTAGTAAAAGGTAAAGATGCTATATATATTTTTTTCGCACCTTTACAACTTAATCTTTGTGTTAAGTAAGTGTATAGATGTTTAGATGAACACAAAGCCCTTATCAAGTACACCTATCGTAACAGATTGTGTCTGGGTATTTAACAGGAGTTTAACACTAATATAGACAACATGCTTTATTACTCTACTCAATTAAAGCTTGATTCTGGCCCAAAACCTGAACGGTCTAGAAACCACCTGTGTATGTTATGGCTGTCAGAACTATTTATTTATGCAGAACAAAGATTTATTACACGCGGACAATATCTCTTTACCCACCTGTGTAATTGTTAGAAATACACACCACATGATTATAAGCGGTAATACACTTTCCTTCTCTTTGTACCGTATTTATCTCTATAAATGTCTTGGCACGTCAAACATATGTATTTACAGAAAATATATCTTAACTGAAAATAAAGCTAAACCTTAGAGATAAAATGACTTAAGAAAAGTCGTTCCCTCAGTCCGTATTATGTGGATACTTACCTGTTCCGTTACTAAGTGTAACTCTTCAGAGGTAAAATTTGCAGAGTCTGAAGCCCTTTATATAGGTTGCTGAGGGTTGCACAGTCCTTTAGAGGGTGCTGAGTTTGGTGCAGCCTTTTATATAGTGTGCTGAGGGTGGCACAGCCCTTTATATAGGATGCTGAGGGTGACACAGCCCTTTATATAGGGTGCTGAGGGTTGCACAGTCCTTTAGAGGGTGCTGAGTTTGGTGCAGCCTTTTATATAGTGTGCTGAGGGTGGTGCAGCCCTTTATATAGGGTGCTGAGGGTTGCATAGTCCTTTATATAGTGTGCCTAGGGTGGTGCAGTCCTTTCTATAGGGTGCTGAGGGTGGCACAGCCCTTTATATAGGGTGCTGAGGGTGGCACAGCCTTTTAAATAGGGTGCTGAGGGTGGTGCAGCCCTTTATATAGGGTGTTGAGGGTTGCACAGTCCTTTAGAGGGTGCTGAAGGTGGCACAACCCTGTACATTTGGTGCTGAGGGTGGCACAGCCCTTTTTATAGCTTGCTTAGGTTGGTGCAGCCTTTTATCAGGTCACCTGAGACAAAGTCTCAAGTTTTACATTTTCGACTTCTTCTCCAAAACCCCAGAACCAATTTCAATGAAATGTTGCAGGGACCTTCCATTGACAAAGGTCAACAAAAATAGTGGCCGGTTTAGTCCCAAGCCCCCAGGGGCCTGAGGGGTGGGGCCAAAAAGGGTCAAATTGACTAAAATTTCAAAAATCTTCTTCTCCAAAACCCCTGAACCAATTTCAATGAAATTTTGCAGGGACCTTCCATGGACAAAGGTCAACAAAAATAGTGGCCGGTTTAGTCCCAAGCCCCCAGGGGCCTGAGGGGCGGGGCCAAAAGGGGTCAAATTGACTAAAATTTCAAAAATCTAATTTTCAAGACCCAGATATGGTAGAATTAAATACTCTTCATATATGGAAGGGTCTTAAGGCGCTTTACCAAAATTGTGAATTTCTTGACCCTGGGGTCTCACGTTTCCCCCTGGGGAGGGGGTAAACTTTACTATAGTTTATATAGGGAAATCACATTTTGGACCAACATTTGTTTAATTTCCATTGGAAGTAATTCAATTTGGGTAAGCATTATCAGTATTAGGTAGCAGTTTGATAGTATGCACATATGAGCCCTGACTGACACCCAGGGGCTGATGGGTGGGGCAAAAAAGGGTTGAATTGACTGAAATTTCAAAAATCTTCTTCTCAAAACCCAGATATGGTAGAATCAAGTGCTCTTCATAGATGGAAGGGTCTTAAGGTGCTTTACCGAAATTGTGAATTTCTTGACCCTGGGGTCTCACGTTTCCCCCTGGGGAGGGGGTAAACTTTACTATAGTTTATATAGGGAAATCACATTTTGGACCAACATTTGTTTAATTTCCATTGGAAGTAATTCAATTTGGGTTAGCATTATCAGTATTAGGTAGCAGTTTGATAATAAGCACATATCAGCCCTGACTGACCCCCAGGGGCTGATGGGTGGGGCCAAAAAGGGTCGAATTTACTGAAATTTCAAAAATCTTCTTCTCAAGACCCAGATATGGTAGAATCAAATACTCTTCATAGATGGAAGGGTCTTAAGGTTTATGACCCTAGGGTCTCACGTTTACCCCCTGGGGAAGGGGGGGGGGGGGGCAAAATTTATTATGGTTTATAATGGCAAATGATACTTTGAATATTACATGTTAATAACTTGATTGGAATTATAACCTTGAATTGACAGTTTGATACTTTGAAAATTTTGAGCCAGCCCTACCCCCAAGGGCTGTAGGGTGGGGCTCAAAGGAGTCAGTGTGCTAAAATTTCTTCATTTTCCTTGTTTAGAATCAGAGGTGCTAGTTTCAAATACTTTTTAGTCTGAAATCTGTATGCTAGATATTGAATAAGGTGGTTTTATTGTTTTTTGTCACTTTGAATAATATTTCTGTTCATGTTAAAAACAAAATCAACTCTCTGTATAAATATATCAGGTGACCGTTAAGGCCCATGGGCCTCTTGTATAAAGTGCTGAGGATGGCGCAGTCCTTTCTATAGGGTGCTGAGGGTGGCACAGCCCTGTATATAGGGTGCTGAAGGTGGCACAGCCCTTTATATAGGGTGATGAGGGTGGGACATCCCCTTATATAAGGTGCTGAGGGTGGCACAGCCCTTTATATCAAGTGTTGTGGGTGGTGCAGTCCTTTATATAGGATGCTGAGGATGTCACAGCCCTTTATATAGGGTGCTGAGGGTGGCACAGCCCTTTATATCAAGTGTTGTGGGTGGTGCAGTCCTTTATATAGGATGCTGAGGATGTCACAGCCCTTTATATAGGGTGCTGAGGGTGGCACAGCCCTTTATATAGGGTGCTGAGGGTGGCACAGGATGGCAAAAATGGTGCAGGGCAGCTTAGGGTGCTTTATGGGCGGATTGGTCGAGTGGTTAACACTCCGGCCTTCCACGCAGGTGGCCGGAGTTCGATCCCCAAAGTCGCCGTATGCATGGAATATTCAGAGAAAGTGTTTTTCTCCTGCCCACACGACTCCAACAACTCAGGTGGAGTATACAATGGTAAGGGGTGGGTGTTGCGGTATCTGTGCTGTAGCATTCAAATAATGTGGCACTATAAATGATACCGTTGGTAGCACGGTCCCACTCCTAAAAGAACACAATACATCTCCAGCACACACACAGGCATACACACATAGGGAGATATTAGCAAGGTGGCATAGGACTAGAAGTTAGTGCCTGATAAGGCAGCTCCTGCGAATTCCTCAATATTGTTTTGATTAATATATATGCTAATTGTATTGACTGTATAAAATTGTATATCTATGTTCTGTTAAGCGCTTTAGTATGGGTTATGTTAGCTAGATAGGGCGCTATATCAAATGTTGTATATTTTAATATAAAAGCTTACTATTACAGACTGGGAAGCACTGTTTTATTTACAATGTTGGCTGGGCACTTACAACAACAAATACAGCAGTAATACACAAATACAGCAGTAATGTTTTGTAGGTTATGTGGTAGGCTGGGCCCTTACTATAACAAATATAGCAGTAATGTTTTGTAGGGTATTGGTAGGCTGGGCACTTACTACAACAAATACAGCAGTAATGTTTTGTAGGGTATGTGGTAGGCTGGGCACTTACTACAACAAATACAGCAGTAATGTTTTGTAGGGTATGTGGTAGGCTGGGCACTTACTACAACAAATACAGCAGTAATGTTTTGTAGGGTATGTGGTAGGCTGGGCACTTACTACAACAAATACAGCAGTAATGTTTTGTAGGGTATGTGGTAGGCTGGGCACTTACTACAACAAATACAGCAGTAATGTTTTGTAGGGTATGTGGTAGGCTGGGCACTTACTTCAACAAATACAGCAGTTATGTTTTGTAGGGTATGTGGTAGGCTGGGCACTTACTACAACAAATACAGCAGTAATGTTTTGTAGGGTATGTGGTAGGCTGGGCACTTACTACAACAAATACAGCAGTAATGTTTTGTAGGGTATGTGGTAGGCTGGGCACTTACTACAACAAATACAGCAGTAATGTTTTGTAGGGTATGTGGTAGGCTGGGCACTTACTACAACAAATACAGCAGTAATGTTTTGTAGGGTATGTGGTAGGCTGGGCACTTACTACAACAAATACAGCAGTAATGTTTTGTAGGGTATGTGGTAGGCTGGGCACTTACTACAACAAATACAGCAGTAATGTTTTGTAGGGTATGATGTAGGCTGGGCACTTACTACAACAAATACAGCAGTAATGTTTTGTAGGTTGTGGTAGGCTGGGCCCTTACTACAACAAATACAGCAGTAATGTTTTGTAGGTTGTGGTAGGCTGGGCCCTTACTACAACAAATACAGCAGTAATGTTTTGTAGGTTGTGGTAGGCTGGGCACTTACTACAACAAATACAGCAGTAATGTTTTGTAGGTTATGTGGTAGGCTGGGCCCTTACTACAACAAATACAGCAGTAATGTTTTGTAGGTTGTGGTAGGCTGGGATACTGTTGTGTATATAAACTATTCCCCATGCTGTAGCATGGCTCTATGTAATTTATAATTACTACACCACAATAACCTGCAGAAAATCTGCTAACGAAAATTAGGAAAATCTGTGCAGCAATATTGAAGAAAATCTTTTCAAGAATTATGGACGATAAAAAATAATCACTTGCTAATTTAACACATTAGCATTTTCTAAGCTTTCAGTTAAATATTGGCAAACATGTACGAGGAAAAGTGTTAAATGGATTATAGTTTGAAGATTCTTACCAAGGTTTTTTTTATCAATATTTCCATGTTAAACATGAAAATATTGTTGGCCATCAATATGTTGTAATTTTAGTGCACTTTAAATTGTCTGCACTGCATATGCTGCTTAATTATGATTCTATACAAGTAGGTATGTTTGGTAAATGGTCTTTAATAACAGGTGGTCTATAATGACAGGTGGTCTATAATGATAGGTGGTCTATAATGACAGGAGGTCTATAATGACAGGGGGTCTATAATAACAGGTGGTCTATAATGACAGGTGCTCTATAATGACAGGTGGTCTATAATGATAGGTGGTATATAATGACAGGTGGTCTATAATGATAGGTGGTATATAATGACAGGTGGTCTATAATGACAGGTGGTCTATAATAACAGGTGGTGTATATAATGATAGGTGGTCTATAATGATAGGTGGTCTATAATGACAGGTGGTCTATAATAACAGGTGGTGTATATAATGATAGGTGGTCTATATATAATGACAGGTGGTCTATATAATGATAGGTGGTCTATAATAACAGGTGGTCTATAATGATAGGTGGGCTATAATGACAGGTGGTCTATAATGATAGGTGGTGTATAATGACAGGTGGTCTATAATAACAGGAGGTCTATAATGATAGGTGGTCTATAATCACAGGTGGTCTATAATGACAGGTGGTATATAATAACAGGTGGTCTATAATGACAAGCGGACTATGATAATAGGTGGTCTATATAATGATAGGGGGTCTATAATGGCAGGTGGTCTATATATAATGATAGGTGGAGTATATATTATGATAGGTGATCTATATATAATGATAGGTGATCTATATATAATGATAGGTGATCTATATATTATGATAGGTGGTCTATATATAATGACAGGTGGTCTATATATAATGATAGGTGGTGTATATATTATGATAGGTGATCTATATATAATGACAGGTGATCTATAATGATAGGTGATCTATATATAATGATAGGTGGTCTAATTATAATGATAGGTGATCTATATATAATGATAGGTGATATATACATAATGATAGGTGATCTATATATAATGATAGGTGATATATACATAATGATAGGTGATCTATATATAAGGACAGGTGGTCTATATATAATGCCAGGTGATCTATATATAATGACAGATGGTCTATTATAACATGTTTTTAAATGTGATTTCACTTCATCTGTTCTATTACCTTTGAGTTGCATTGAAATGTGTTATACTACTACAGGTGTTTTCCATCCTGAAGTCAATATAGAGGTAACACCTCTTGTTGGCCAGTGAGGTGTCTAGTACTAGGACTGAGGGAGAAACTGATAAATATAGGCTATCCTGGGGCATGCGTTGAGTCATTACATGTTACCATGGTAAATAGGTTGTTTTTATAAATTAGAAACAAATAAACAGAGACAACAAACAGTGTGATTCAATTGTTTAGTTTGGAGGGTTAAACAGTGATAATTGTAATAGGTAGTGTGTGAGTGGGAGGGAGGTAAACTTATAGAGGGAGGAATTAGGTGATACTTGTATACTCTCACCAGTATCACCCAGATAGGTAGTGTGTGAAGGGAGGGGAGTAAACCTATAGAGGGAGGAATTAGGTGATACTTGTATACTCTCACCAGTGCCACCCAGATAGGTAGTGTGTGAGGGGGAGGGTAGTAAACCTATAGAGGGAGGAATTAGGTGATACTTGTATACTCTCACCAGTACCACCCAGATAGGAGGTGGGCGAGGGGGAGGGCAGTAAACCTACAGAGGGAGGAATTAGGTGATACTTGTATACGCTCACCAGTACCACCCAGATAGGTAGTGTGTGAGGGGCAGGGTAGTAAACCTATAGAGGGAGGAATTAGGTGATACTTGTATACTCTCACCAGTATCACCCAGATAGGTAGTGTGTGAAGGGGAGGGTAGTAAACCTATAGAGGGAGGAATTAGGTGATACTTGTATACTCTCACCAGTACCACCCAGATAGGTAGTGTGTGAGGGGGAGGGTAGTAAACCTATAGAGGGAGGAATTAGGTGATACTTGTATACTCTCACCAGTACCACCCAGATAGGTAGTGTGTGAGGGGGAGGGTAGTAAACCTATAGAGGGAGGAATTAGGTGATACTTGTATACTCTCACCAGTACCACCCAGATAGGTAGTGTGTGAGGGGGAGGGTAGTAAACCTATAGAGGGAGGAATTAGGTGATACTTGTATACTCTCACCAGTACCACCCAGATAGGTAGTGTGTGAGGGGGAGGGTAGTAAACCTATAGAGGGAGGAATTAGGTGATACTTGTATACTCTCACCAGTACCACCCAGATAGGTAGTGTGTGAGGGGGAGGGTAGTAAACCTATAGAGGGAGGAATTAGGTGATACTTGTATACTCTCACCAGTACCACCCAGATAGGTAGTGTGTGAGGGGGAGGGTAGTAAACCTATAGAGGGAGGAATTAGGTGATACTTGTATACTCTCACCAGTACCACCCAGATAGGTAGTGTGTGAGGGGGAGGGTAGTAAACCTATAGAGGGAGGAATTAGGTGATACTTGTATACTCTCACCAGTACCACCCAGATAGGTAGTGTGTGAGGGGGAGGGTAGTAAACCTATAGAGGGAGGAATTAGGTGATACTTGTATACTCTCACCAGTATCACCCAGATAGGTAGTGTGTGAGGGGGAGGGTAGTAAACCTATAGAGGGAGGAATTAGGTGATACTTGTATACTCTCACCAGTACCACCCATATAGGTAGTGTGTGAGGGGGAGGGAAGTAAACCTACAGAGGGAGGAATTAGGTGATACTTGTATACTCTCACCAGTATCACCCAGATAGGTAGTGTGTGAGGGGGAGGGTAGTAAACCTATAGAGGGAGGATAATAGGGGATACTTGTATACTCCCACCAGCACCACCCACAAAGTAGTGACATCACAAACATCTGATGTCATCAATATCTGTGTACACAGCAACAAAGTTATAAAATCATAAACTTGTGATGTCATCAATATTTGTATTCACAGCCACAAAATAGTGACATCACAACTATATGATGTCATAAATATCTGTGCAGTAGTATAGCCACAAAGTAATGACATCACAAACATCTGTTTTCATAAATTTCTGTACAAAAACAGAACCAAATGACATCACCAATTTGTGTGGTCAGGAAGAAGATTTCCTATACATTGCTCTTTAATTTTCCCACTTTTATATGTTAGACTTTTACATAATCATATGTGTTAGCAAACCTGATGCGTCATAAATTTGTGTGTACAACAACAATAGTGATAACATAATAATGTGTGTGTACAACAACAATAGAGATATCATAATAATGTGTGTGCATGTTTTATGTTGTAGGTGTGTTACACCAGCTCAATGAGAGTCGTACACAGTTAGAAGAGCTCTGGGCCGCTCGCAAGATGAAGCTTGATCTGTGTCTACAGCTTAGGCTGTTTGAAAGGGACTCTTTAGAGGTAAGAGGTCAAAGGTTAACCTGTAAAAGGTCAAATATCAAAATGTAAGAGGTCATAATGGACTCTTTAGTGGTTAGAGTCCAAGGGTCAACCTGTTTAAGGTCAAATATCAAAATGATACAGGTCATAAATAGACTCTCTAGGGCTATGAGGTCAAAGGTCAACCTGAAAAAGGTCAAATATCAAAATGTAAGATGTCATACATGGACTCTTTAGTGGTTAGAGTCCAAGGGTCAACTTGTTTAAGGTCAAATATCAAAATGATAAGAGGTCATAAATAGACTCTCTAGAGTTATGAAGTCAAAGGTCAACCTGTAAAAGGTCAGATATCAAAATAATAGAGGTCATAAATGGACTCTCTATAGTTAAGAGGTCAAAGGTCAACCTGTAAAACGTCAGATATCAAAATATAACAGGTCATTAATAGACTCTCTATAGTTAAAAGGTCAAAGGTCAACCTGTAAAAGGTCAGATATCAAAATGATAGAGGTCATATATGGACTCTTTAGAGTTAAGAGGTCAAAGGTCAACCTGCATGAGGTTAAGTATCAAAGTGTAAGCAAGGTCATCAACAGTTCTATATTTCCTAGAATAAGGTATACTTTGCAATATTCTATAAATTATCTGTCCATTCACTTTGAGAGATTGTATCCCCAAAATGTTTAGATTTGTTACTGTGTAATGAATTATCTACTCTTGTCTCCCAGCTTTACTGTTCCATTCTACTGTAATGAGTTATTTACCCTTGTCTCCACATTTTACTGTTCCATTCTACTGTAATGAGTTATCTACCCTTGTCTCCTAGCTTTACTGTTCCATTCTGCTGTAATGAATTATCTACCCTTGTCTCCCAGCTTTACTGTTCCATTCTACTGTAATGAGTTATCTACCCTTGTCTCCTAGCTTTACTGTTCCATTCTGCTGTAATGAATTATCTACCCTGGTCTCCCAGCTTTACTGTTCCATTCTACTATAATGAGTTATCTACCCTTGTCTCCCAGCTTTACTGTTCCATTCTTCTGTAATGAATTATCTTCCCTTGTCTCCCAGCTTTACTGTTCCATTCTACTGTAGTGAGTTATCTACCCTTGTCTCCTAGATTTACTGTTCCATTCTTCTGTAATGAGTTAGCTACCCTTGTCTCCTAGCTTTACTGTTCCATTCTTCTGTAATGAGTTATCTCCCCTTGTCTCCCAGCTTTACTGTTCCATTCTACTGTAGTGAGTTATCTACCCTTGTCTCCTAGATTTACTGTTCCATTCTTCTGTAATGAGTTAGCTACCCTTGTCTCCTAGCTTTACTGTTCCATTCTTCTGTAATGAATTATCAACCCTTGTCTCCCAGCTTTACTGTTCCATTCTACTGTAGTGAGTTATCTACCCTTGTCTCCTAGATTTACTGTTCCATTCTTCTGTAATGAGTTAGCTACCCTTGTCTCCTAGCTTTACTGTTCCATTCTTCTGTAATGAGTTAGCTACCCTTGTCTCCTAGCTTTACTGTTCCATTCTTCTGTAATGAGTTATTTACCCTTGTCTCCCAGCTTTACTGTTCCATTCTGCTGTAATGAATTATCTACCCTGGTCTCCCAGCTTTACTGTTCCATTCTTCTGTAATGAGTTAGCTACCCTTGTCTCCTAGCTTTACTGTTCCATTCTACTGTAGTGAGTTATCTACCCTTGTCTCCTAGATTTACTGTTCCATTCTTCTGTAATGAGTTAGCTACCCTTGTCTCCTAGCTTTACTGTTCCATTCTACTGTAGTGAGTTATCTACCCTTCTCTCCCAGCTTTACTGTTCCATTCTTCTGTAATGAGTTATTTACCCTTGTCTCCCAGCTTTACTGTTCCATTCTGCTGTAATGAATTATCTTCCCTTGTCTCCCAGCTTTACTGTTCCATTCTACTGTAGTGAGTTATCTACCCTTGTCTCCTAGATTTACTGTTCCATTCTTCTGTAATGAGTTAGCTACCCTTGTCTCCCAGCTTTACTGTAATGAGTTATCTATCCTTGTCATGCCCTAGGTGTCCTCACAGTTGGAGTTATGGGCGGAGGAGCTACAGCACCAGGAGTTGGTGTCTGATGGCAGTAAGGCTGAACAGTTACTACAGCTTCACAACGAGAGTGTACTGCACATGCAAAACTGTACCTACGAAGTGCTGCAGAGGGGTCAGGAGCTGTGCCAGGTTTGAATTATCTTTCTTATTGAATATACCTTCCTTCCTTATTAGCTCACTACGGCCGAAAAAATACCATGGCATCCATCGTCTGTCTGTCATCTGTATGTCAACAATTTCTTAAAGTGACTTCTTCAAACTGCTGATTGGTATGTGACCAAATTTGACTGAAAGCATTCCTAGCTGGTGGAGACAAATGCAGCATAATTTAGCCATATTACTTTAATCAACTTCCTCTCTGGAACTAAGTGATTGATATCAATCATGTGTGATTGGAAGTACTCTCAGGTGATGGGGAATCAAACTTGTACAAATGGAGGGGCTGAACTCTGGGTCTGAGGGTGTAGCCAAAAGGAGTATTTAACATTATCAAGATTCCCATCCCATTATCATATATACAATTGCTGGGCCTAAAGAAATGAACACAATCATGATATTGGAATTGACTCTGGGGTCTGGCCTCACCCCTGGGGATATGATTCTTGGGTCATAACTTTGAATTTGTTAAGATCCCCATAGCCATAACCATATGTACAACTGATAGGCATAAAGAGCTAAACATAATCATGATATAAGAATTGACTCTAGGGTCTTGCCACACCCCTAGGGATTTAATTTCTGAATCATAACTTTGAAAAGTTTGAAATCCTCAACCCATAGCCATTGCTTGGCCTTAAAAGCCAGGTGAGTGCTACAGGACTTACGGTCCTCTTGTTTTATTCTATTTTGAAGTTAACTTTGTCATTTTTCGACCTAATTCCACAGTAAAACCAGTTAACTTGATCTTGGGTGATATCCTTATTTTAAAAGAGGATTCAATCCAGACTCTTTCTGGATATCTAACAGGTTTCTCTGACCTGATAGATTTTATATAATTAAGCTGATATTGCAAAGAAATAAAATCAATCTTTGTTTATCCAAAGTAAACAAAAAACATCAATCACGTTCACCAATGTTTTACTAAATCTGTCTTTTACAGGGTTGATATTTCATCAATAAATATTAATGCATGTTACGTTAATTTGCTCAATCTCATTCATTCAGATGTTTGAAACATCGGGGGTACAGCTAATGGCGGACACACAGTATGACGCATCGTCCAGGATACAGGCGCTACTGGAGTACCTCCACGAACGTGAGATGGACCTAGAGACCATTGCTGAGACAAAACGGCAGAGACTGGAGCAGTGTGTACAGCTCCGTAACTTTGAAATTGAGGCTCGCCAGGTATNGGGGGGGGGGGGGGGGGGGGGGGGGGGGGGGGGGGGGGGGGGGATATTTCACTTCAGACGAAAAGCAATATGAAATCAAACTGATTAACTATACAATTTAATAATAAGTATAATATGAGGCTTAGTGGTAGTTATATAACTCTTATGACATTTCAGTGAAATTTATATACACTTGTATAGTATTCATCAGATTTTCTTTGAGCCAGTATATATACTGTCACAGGCTGTAGTATCATATAGGTATTTGCAATATAAAATTACAGAAAGACAACACTGTTTTTTGCGTTTAAGGAGATGTCTTTCAATACTATTATTTGGTACAAAAATGAATAAACTTTGAATTTTATATCAGGTGATATATTGGATAGAGAATGGAAAGTCAATGCTGATTAGCTGTTTCCTGTGTCCGAACTCTCTGATAGAGGCAGAACAGCTACGCAAGGAGCACGAGCAGTTTATGTTGGCAATCGAGGTAAGAGCACTCATCATGACATGATTGTGCTTACATGTTCTGAATTGTATCCATAATAATGTATAACCAGTACATAATAATGTATTACCAGTGTATTACCAGTACATAATAATGTATTACCAGTACATAATAATGTATTACCAGTACACAATAATGTATTACCAGTACACAATAATGTATTACCAGTACATAATAATGTATTACCAGTACATAATATAGTTTTACCAGTATACAATAATGTAAATTGAGAGTTCCATCAATATGTGTGTGTAAATTGAGAGTTCCATCAATATGTTTGTGTAAATTGAGAGTTCTATCAATATGTGTGTGTAAATTGAGAGTTCCATCAATATATGGGTGTAAATTGAGAGTTCCATCAATATGTGTGTGTAAATTGAGAGTTCCATCAATATGGGTGTGTAAATTGAGAGTTCTATCAATATGTGCGTGTAAATTGAGAGTTCTATCAATATGTGTGTGTAAATTGAGAGTTCAATCAATATGTGTGTGTAAATTGAGAGTTCTTTCAATGTGTGTGTAAATTGAGAGTTCAATCAATATGTGTGTGTAAATTGAGAGTTCTATCAATATGTGTGTGTTAATTGAGAGTTCCATCAATATGTGTGTGTTAATTGAGAGTTCCATCAATATGTGGGTGCAAATTTAGAGTTCTATCAATATGTGGGTGTAAATTTGAAAATTACGAATTCAAAATAATCTCTTAACAATGTAAGGTTATAGGATAGCTGATGTGATCCTTTTCCGTTTAATTAAACTAGAAAGATAATCGTGTCTTTGTCACAACTAACTGGTTTTGTTTTTAACAGAAAACCAACGTAAGTATGGCCCAGGTAACGGCCCGGGCTGAAAGCATGATCCAGGCGAGTCACTACAACTCTGACCTCGTACGAGCGATCGCGGAGAATGTGACCTTCACCTGGCAACAGCTGATGTACCACACCGAGGAACGGTACAAACTCGTCATGGCTTCCATGAACTGGTACAAGACTGCTGAACAGGTAATGGTTGACACCAACGGAAGGGAGATAATTCATGCGCGACACATTTATATATATATTGGCGAATAAGTACTTCTTTGCCCATGTATCTAAGTAATATGCATCCAACTAACATTTGTGCCAATATTGAATCATACAGTTGTTATTACTTATATATATTTAGCAGATTGGTACAAAAAGTATACATCATTTAATTGTGACCCTTCTGAGATCAAACTGTCCACAACAATAAGCCAGAGTAAGCAAACTTTATCAGACACTTTTTCATGCCTAATTGCTTTGTGTACTTTCCAAATGCTAAGTAATGAAAAACACTGATGCTTTCCGTTGGGAAAAAGACTGATGTAACTTGTAGTGAAAATTCTAGGTGCATCTGGGACATGGCATTCCCGGTTAAATAAGTTAACTACTGAAAAAGTGGGAAATTCAACTGACCTGTGCAGAGACATAAAGTGGTAACTGGGTCTGACCCCACAGGATGTAGGCAACTTGTCTGATTTGTCCTTAGAAATAACTTTTGAAGCATTAGTTTTCTGGATGACCGACTCTACTAATCTGTACATACATGTACCTCCAGTGTTCTGGATGACCGACTCTACTAATATGTACATACATGTACCTCCAGTGTTCGGGATGACCGACTCTACTAATCTGACATACATGTACCTCCAGTGTTCGGGATGACAGGCTCTACTAATCTGACATACATGTACCTCCAGTGTTCGGGATGACAGGCTCTACTAATCTGACATACATGTACCTCCTGTGTTCTGGATGACCGACTTTACTAATCTGTACTTACATGTACCTCCAGTGGTCTGGATGACTGACTCTACTAATCTGTACATACATGTACCTCCAGTGGTCTGGATGACCGACTTTACTAATCTGTACTTACATGTACCTCCAGTGTTCTGGATGACCGACTCTACTAATCTGTACTTACATGTACCTCCAGTGTTCTGGATGACCGACTCTACTAATCTGTACTTACATGTACCTCCAGTGTTCTGGATGACCGACTCTACTAATCTGTACTTACATGTACCTCCAGTGTTCTGGATGACCGACTCTACTAATCTGTACTTACATGTACCTCCAGTGTTCTGGATGACCGACTCTACTAATCTGTACTTACATGTACCTCCAGTGTTCTGGATGACCGACTCTACTAATCTGTACTTACATGTACCTCCAGTGTTCTGGATGACCGACTCTACTAATCTGTACTTACATGTACCTCCAGTGTTCTGGATGACCGACTCTACTAATCTGTACTTACATGTACCTCCAGTGTTCTGGATGACCGACTCTACTAATCTGTACTTACATGTACCTCCAGTGTTCTGGATGACCGACTCTACTAATCTGTACTTACATGTACCTCCAGTGTTCTGGATGACCGACTCTACTAATCTGTACTTACATGTACCTCCAGTGTTCTGGATGACCGACTCTACTAATCTGTACTTACATGTACCTCCAGTGTTCTGGATGACCGACTCTACTAATCTGTACTTACATGTACCTCCAGTGTTCTGGATGACCGACTCTACTAATCTGTACTTACATGTACCTCCAGTGTTCTGGATGACCGACTCTACTAATCTGTACTTACATGTACCTCCAGTGTTCTGGATGACCGACTCTACTAATCTGTACATACATGTACCTCCAATTTTTTTGGATGACTGACTCTACTAATCTGTACATACATGTACCTCCAGTGTCCACCTCTATTGTTTTACACCTGGCATTACAGGTTTGGTCAGTCCTCGAGTCGCTGGACCGTGACTACAAACGTGACGAAGATTGGTGTAACACGGAACGAGCCAATTCCGGAGACAAGGCCAACTACCTAGTACAGCTCATCAACAAACACAACGAGCAAAAGGAGGCATTCCTCAAGGTGAAACTTCCACGGGGGCAGGGCAATCCCCTGGGGGTGGGGGCTGTATGGGAATGCTAAAGTAACATGACTAAGGGTATTAGAACATCTCACCACTCATACAACAAGCAAAAGAAAGCCTTCCACAAGGTAAAACTTCCCTGGGGCAGGGCATTCCCCTGGGGTGGGGTTGGTATTTGAATACTTAAAAGTATCATCATTTGTAGTATTAGAGAAAGCAAGGCCTTATACATTATATCAAAGAGCAGACAGTAGAAGAAGATTGTTTTCAAGGGGGTTGGGAAAATTCTCCCAGAGAAATAAGTGTTTAGGGAGGAGCAGGGTTGGCTACATTTTGTCAAGCAGAGAGCGGAAGGAGGCTTGGCTGATGATGAAGAAGGGGACAACTCCCAGGGTGGGGAAATTTCTTCTGGAGGTAGGGTTGTCAACATAAATAGCCAACAGGGATAGGAAATCAAAAGGAAATATTTGTAATATAGGAAATTTGACTAGAAATCAAGTTTGGACTTCCTATATATAATACATGATGGTATAACTTAATGATAAAATAACATGCAAGTAAGCTGATTCTATGATGTTATAGAGGAGACTCACTAGGTATAGGTAAATGGAGGTTTAGATTTTACTGGGTGATGGAGAAAACGAGTTCGGTACTTACCAAATGGATTGGGCAACTTACTAAGAGAACTGGGAGGCTAGAATAGAGGATTAGTAAACCAAAATATTGTATCCCGGGGAAATTTCCCCCCAGTCATACTTTCGCCCTTCGACCATGAAATCAATTTTCGCCCAGTCTGAATTTTGCCCTTCACTTTTAATTACGATGTATATTATATTGTTTACTTATATACGCTAAAATGATAAATTTGCTCTCATTACAAAAGGCGAATTTGTGGAAAATTAAACTGCAGCCAAAATTTTCGGCATACAGTATTGACAGAAAACAAAGGAGAAAGCCCAAATTAGCAGCTCATGGTCTAGCAAACAGTGGGTCTGCCTCATTTCAGAAACTGTGTGTACCAATTAATAAATGTTGTATGCCTTGTGTTAAAACTCCTTTCTGTGTTATTGTATATCTAGGCATGTACACTGGCGAGAAGGACAGCCGAAAGCTTTCTTAAGTATGTGAACAGGAATCTTCACACCTTTGGCACGCAGCTCAAGTTCCGTAGTCCAGAAAAGCATGTCAAAGGTGAGAAAAATATAAAAAAAATGTAACTGGCAAAAATCATGTGTATAATGTGTGGAAATTTAGCCGAAGAACAAGACACTCAGTTACTTAAAGCTGTTGAAAAAATGACAAAGAATTTTATTTTAAATTTTCACTGCAAGTACCTCTATAAGCATTACCAGAATAAACACATTTTGATCTGCGTCATTTTGAAGCTTCTCCTCCCACCTGGTATAACCTAAGGCACCCATTAGATGCAAACATTTTGGTGATATTTGGCAGTTTCAGGAATCTCGTTTGCAAAGATGACATGGACACTTCAACATTGAAAATATCAGGGAATACTTATATTTAGATCAATGACGTATATAAAATTCAAAATGTAAACAATTATATTTAAGTATTGAGCAGCATTTTTTCAATGTTCATGCTGGTATGAATGCGATTTGGTTACATACATATCTACCATGTAGTCTGATCTCTAAAGGAATGATGTGATGATAGTAAGAAATCACTGAAAAGGGAAACAACTCCAGTCTTCCTGTCTCCGTTTTCTCTCATTTAAAAGTTTGTTGATAGGTGTGATTGGAATAAATTCAAAGGTGTTCTCATTCCATAATACAATCTCAGAAAAAAATGATCTTGGATGAAAATCGTACACATTTGCAACTCGTTTGTTCTTAACAATCAAGTTCGGGATTTTGATACTGAAAAAATTGAGTCCTGTATAAAAGTGAGGTTGTCATTGACCTACTGACAATTATTTGTAACCGTAGCAACCTTGGACCAGCTGCTGCAGCAGGAGAATGTAGTCATAGAATACTGGACTGTGAAGAAGCGTAAACTTGAACAGTGTCATCAGTATGTCCTGTTTGAACAGAGCGCTAGGCAGGTAAGTAACAAGCATTGTGATTGGTTGAATTTGTACAGATAGCAAGCTGGCCGTCCTGAACTATTTCAGATTGTGTAAAATTTCCATTTGTGATCGATCAAGTTTTTTTTATGTACACAGGGCTATTTTTGTGTTTGAAGAAAGTCCGCAAATTTAGCTAGACAGCCAAATAAAGAAAAGTAAGCGAAGACCTAATATTTCAGGACCTATAAATTCCTCGCTCAGCGATATATTTTGTTATTTCCATGTTAACTCATTATTCTGCAACTTCATCCAGCAAAACTTTTGTGTTATCATACGCAAAAATATTTGTAGAAGACATTTAAAGGATTTGTTAAGAAAAAGCGAAAATGAAATTTGGGGAAGGCAAATAAAATAAATGTTATTGCGATTGAGGTTTTTGACTGTTGAAGTGAAAATTACACAGACAAAACTATATGTGTATGTATTAAGTGATAACTGAGAAATGTTGGCGAAGGTAAGGATGATATAGCGTACAGAATTGTGTTGACCCATTATGGCTTGTGTCGGAGAAAGCATCAGTATAGTATGATACAGATGATAAGAGAATACCACAGGTCGATATGTAAAAACATCTCAATTTACCTACTGGATGTATGAAACAAACTCATTTAACATTGTACAGTATGATTTATTAAATTTGACCCAGATTTAATTATATTCTGATTTTGTATTGTTTTTTGGGGGATTCAGTTACACATTAAGAGTACTAGCCTGCAGGCAGATTTGTACAGATAATACCAACATAACAGTAAATATTAAACCTTTTCATCAGCCCCGACATAGAATCTACTAGCGCCGCGGACATTGGGGTAGTGGAATTTTACAACCCTGGATACTAACTTCATTATTAGCCTTTTGTTGTATGTAGTCTGAAACCTAAATGAGAGTGTAAAGTGAGAATAACTATATGTCAATGTGAGATATATGCTGTGTTTCCTGTCTAGGCCCTGGATTGGATCCGAGACTTCGGGGAGGCCTTCCTGTCCACACATACACAGGTTGGGGTCAACCAAGGGGAAACAGAGGCCTTGCTCAAGGAATACTACGAGTTCCGAAACAGGGCCAAGGTAGGATGCTACAATGTGGGGGTTGACCTTGAACCTAACCAGACACAGTTGACCTTTCACACAGGTCACAATCAACATGGCTGAGCAGATTTGACATTTGACCTTTCTGGACAGAGTTACATGACCTTTAACCTTACTGTGGAGTTTAATTTCAAATGAACTGTATAACTAATCTTTAAGCTGTCTGGGTAGAGTTGTCCTTTACCTTGAAAGTGCTCACCTTTACCTTGAAAGTGCTCACCTTTACCTTAAAAGTGTTGACATTTACGTTAATAGTTTTGACCTTTGACCCGAAGAGCAACTTTGACCTCAAACCGGACTGAATCTAGATGGTAAAATTAGTGCTTCAAATATCAAGATTGGTAAATTTACATTTAAGAAAAAAGGTGTAAACATCATCAACCTGAACAAGTGTGAAAAGTTCATAATCAGTTACATCTGTTCTTACACAGGAAACCAAGGAGAGTGTGAAACTGCTGCTGTCTCTGGCCAACGGCTTCGTGGCCAAGGCCAACATACACGCCAACAGTATCATGCAGTGGTGTTCTGCAGTGGATAAACGCTACGAAGACTTCGCTACACGCATGACGAAATACAAACAGAAGTTGGAAACTACTCTAGGTGTTCAGGAAGAGGTATGTAACGAAAACTACCAAAATTTTAACAGAGAATATGACTCAATTTACCTGATACTTCTGAGATATCTACTGGCACTACATGTACAGAGGACCAAACATTGGTATCTGAATAAGTTATGTATTGTTAAAACTCTAAACATTGGCTGATTTGATGTTTAGTTTCGCATCAATTTACAGGAGTCCATTCTAAATAAGTAGGTATTGTTAAAACTCTAAACATTGGCTGATTTGATGTTTAGTTTTGCATCAATTTACAGGAGTCCATACTAAATAGGTAGGCATTGTTAAAACTCTAAACATTGGCTGACTTGATGTTTAGTTTTGCATCAATTCACAGGAGTCCATTCTAAATCCTCCTAGATGTATTAAACAATATTTGGAGAACAAAACATCAGATTACAGATGGTAGCCATCCCTGATCACCATAAACATTTAACAGTTATCTAATAATTTTACGTTTGTGAAAACAGAAGGAAGAACAGAAGGAAAAGGACGAACAACGACATAGTGATTCGTCCATAGAGGAGAAGGTCCTCCACCAAACTCCAAAAGAACTCACTGAGGAGAAGCGGCGCTCGGCACGGCGACGAGAGTAAGTCTAGCAACAGTCAGGTTGTTATGGAAACAAGAGATATGGAAAATAACAATGATTAAATCTTGGTAACCAATTTGTACAAACCTGTCACTCAGCATCACAGGTGTAAGATTTAAATATGTTGAATAATATTTGGTGATGAAGACTGTTAAACACTTTAAATGACTTCTTCTTAAGGCTATAAGGCCTGTTTGTTTGACCCACATGAGAAAATAAACCTATAAATTCCTATAAAGAACTATAAGTTGTATTGGAATGGTATTTTACCTGTATTGTAAGGTTAATTTTGTCAAATTTAATAAAAATAATCATGTTCACCCACTTTGAATGTCACAGATGTGAAATGTGGTTTCCCACACCATTCAATACAGTAGAAGTTGAGCGATACAGGCTCAAAGGGCCTTTTGTTTGGGTATTCATATTCATTTTGTGAGTGTGTCAGTTGGCGTTTGTTCGGGGAGGTGGGGGGGG